GGGGGTGGGGGAGGGACACGGACCCCGTAAGGTGCTCCTTGTATTATTTAGATTTCTCTTTTGAGATACACAGATTTTAAGGGGCTGCTATAGTTGCCTTCAGCACACCACAGACCAGAGATTACCAAGTCGTTGTTGTATCATGGCCCTACCTCTACTGAAGTTAGTACATTTTTTCAAAACCAGCATTTTGCAGACTCTGGCGTGGTCACAGAAGGCAGCATGATGGTCCAGCTATCAAGACACTAGAATGATTTTACAACAGAGAACATGTTATTTTCTTAGTCTTTTTTACACCTTTGACTTTAAATAGTGAGTTTTCAGCAGATTGACACAGAAAACACAGTGAAGATTATATATGGTTGTTTTCATTATATCCTAGATACCTATATTTTCTCTTATTTTTATAGGAAACATAAATGTCTTTTCAAGTAAAGAGTTACCAACCTGAAAAGGTGAAAGAGATATGGAGATAGATAATACCATTAAAAAAATAACTAATCCACTGTATCCTTAATTTCTTCTGATTTCCAGACATACTTTGAATTCTTGAAGCAAATAAAATAAAATCTAAAGTTGGGTGGTACTCTATCATAGACATCATATATTGGACTCAAGACAATTCTAGGAACCTTCCCAAGGGTAGGCATTTCTTCTTTTAAATAAAATTGATGTAGAAAAAATATTTAGATATTTGAAATTCAGTGTGAGTATAATATAAGCACTACAGAGATTGTCCTCACAAGGAGATTCAATTATAAGAAAAGAAAATTAACTTCCTAAAACAAAATGTTGTAGAAGTAAAATTGAGGGTAGATAAGGTATTTTGAGGCTACTTATCCACATAAATGAGAGTTTACGTAGGAAAAATAAGAAAACAGGTTCCTGGATGAGAGAAAGAATTCCTGGTCTGCCAGAAAGAGAGAAGATGGGTTGAAATAGTAACATTTCCATATTGCAACATTTAATACACACATTTAATCTTGTGTTGAGCCAGTAAACATACCTAGATCATGTTCTTTTAATTCAGTTATGTGAGAAGTACATTTTCCTTGGGATCGGTGTGTCCTCTTGAAGAGGACACCATGAATTGGAGTCCTGTACTTGGGAAATTAATGAATTTTGATACAGTAAATTATATTCTGACAAGAACAAGATGTGAAGCAATAATTATGAAGTAGGTAGCCATAGCTGTCTCCATGTCTTACCAGGCACATACTGCACTCCTTTACATTTCTTACAAACTCATCTTTACTCCAGATCAGCTGGAAGTGGGAACAGAATACCACTTCTTGCTTTTGAACAAGACTTCATACTGTCCCTTTGCTTACTACAATGCATTTTAAAAGCATAAGAGAGGCCAAAGTTCTAGTACAAGAATATTATGCTCTAGCGTATCCTGACCTGTATTAACATGCTGAATCACAGATCATTGTAAGGAGCTCCGCTATTGAATGGCTGACTACATGAGTAATTTTTTTCCATCAGACTGTTTTTTTTACTCTGTCAAATGGAGTGACATATACTGATCAAAAGGAAAACAAAAGGGTTATTGTGGTCTGAGTTTCTTTTAGTTGTATTTCCAGGACATCGAGGGGTTTTTTTTACTGTGAAGTCACTGCTGTCAAAGTTGTCCTTATACCAAAACCTTGGTGAAGACTTGTTGTCTGGTCAATTCCAGCTTTCATGATCAGCCAGAGCACATCCAAGGATAACCTGCGGCCAACGGCAATAGATGGACCCACCTGTATTAAATGCATTGTTTGTATTATCCCTTACAATTTATCTAATCCACAGTGCTAAGAAATAACAATGTAAGTCATTTAGTGTATTTACATTTCTAGGAAACAGTATAACTGTATAGAAAACTATTGTCATATAGTAACATCCATTTGTCTTTACATAGCCATATCTTTTTCCTGCATGAAAATTTTTCAGTGTTCTATTCAATATTTTTGGATTTTTGGCAATGTTAAAATATAAAAATATGTGCTCTACAAAAAACAGTTACCATTTAAAATCCAGCTTTTTCTCCTCAGAAAGTGCAAAAGGAAGCTGTTTTGGTTAAGAGCAGAATATCTTCCAAATATAATTTTACATTTTTCTGGATGAAAAAGTGTACTTTATTGTCAAAACTGGCAACAACCAGCTTGAGAGCTTATGGACAGTATTCCAGTCCAGGAGCATATACTCCACAAATGTGGTACTGCTAATAATTGCTTGTTCCATCATAACTAGTGCCTATCAGAATACTCCCTGAAATAGCTGATACATATCCTATGTTCTTCTACAAAGTAACTTTTTTTTTAGCTATGTAGTTTTAAGTTGAAACTTGGTGTAGCCATTTTTGGTAAGATCTTATTTCTCTGTGGAAAAATGCCCTGTTTGGAACAAAATAGCCAATTTTAGGGGAGCAGTGTTACATTTCACTGTCACTTTTTTAATGGCCCATGTGACCTGCAGTGCTGTCTCAAGTGGTAAGAATATCTCAGTCACGCCTGAAAAGAAAAAAAAAGTTATTTTGTTTTTTAACTTCAATTTACAAACTTGTGTCCAGATGTTTAATTTCCTGATTGAATATATTTGCCCCTTGGGAAACTGAAATTTTAGACTTTATTTTTTCAAGTACTAGGATCAATGCTATAGGACTAACTTTAAGGGCAAAATGCAGCTGTAATTAGTCGTAGTGATAGATCCTTCATAAATCACTCTATTTTGGAATTGGTACATAAATAATAATGTTTTATGACTCTGTTGATGCTTCCAAAATAAACATTTAATAGAAGGCAAAAAACCTGCTTGCATTGCTTCAAAAAACATTGCAGGTAGCTTTTTTCTATGTGTGTTTTATAAGCTAACAACATTTGGCTCCACAAAAGCCATATGGCTTTCCAGCAGAATCTGCTACAAGTTTTTACTGAGTCTATACTTGAGCTGTCTGTGGCTTCCAGTAAATTTGCAAATTCCAGTAGCTTTTTAGATGAAGGGTAAGTTTCCCAGTCTCCTCCTGAGGTCTGTCTAAAATTCCACATTACTGTGGCTTAACCCAATCATGTATCTGAGTCACTTTTTAGTATCTGCAGTTGAGAGTAATAGTCTGCAATGTTGTCACAGCTTTTTTACATTTGATGCTTTTCACTAGATATATTTGTGTTACCTAGTGTCCCACAAACAAGTGCAGGATTTTGGGGTGAAAACAGGCTTTCAGTGTTACAGATATTCCTGATTTCTCTGGAAAAGAGGATCCAATGAACTACAGGTGGTGCGTAGAAAAAAGAAGAACTTTTGGGAAAAAAAGAACACCTAATATTTCACCTTGTGATTGTTAGTAGAGGAGAAATTGCCAAATATTTGACCTGAGGAGCATGAGTACTGTGAGTTCCTTCCTTGCTTTGCCTCAGTGAATAAGGCAGAAAAGACCATCACCTACATTCCTGTTTTTCAGCCTTCCAAAAATAATGTCAGTGGAAATAAATTTTCACTTGATTTATTTCAGTTGATTGTTTGAGATAATTTCTTCAGAGTTTTGTCAACAATGTAATAAAAGAAATAAGATTAAATGTTTAATCCCTTGGGCAGCATACCTACTTAAGAGATTTTAGTTTTGCAAGACTTCAAAATAGATAGAAAACTTCTTGAACTCATTACTAAAGCCTGCTTTCTTTTCTATATTTAAATTACTCTCCCATGTCTGTTAAGCTGTGGTGGCTAATGTTGCTTTTCTAAAGCTAATGAGGCCAAAATACCATTTTAAATGTGAAAGTTTTCTCATCTGCTCTGCCTCTCAGTTGTCAGGGCCTTCAAAAAGTGATTTTGTCCTATTTATAAATAACTAGGAGTTCTTAATGCTCCCAGGAATAATTATGGTTATTGAGATGTTGTGGCTGTAAACATGGAGATTTTACCTCCCATATGGCTTAGTTCCCTCAGGACTGTTGAAAGACGAAGCCTAAGCACCAAACTATTTTTCTGAGCTCAGCTAAGGGTGAGAAACTTAAAATAACAGCAAGAGTTGTGAGAAAAACATGCTCTATCTGGACACCTTTTCCTTTTTTTGCTTTCACCATTCCCTTCTGCTTTTAGTACCCTCTGATGTGACCTTAGAGTTGGCTTTATCAGGCAGGTCTTGTGCCTGTGAAATGCTCTTGTCCCTCCTACTGGGAAGCTGTTATTTAATGACGTACAGCATTTGGGCCAAGTGTAACGAGAATGTCTGAGAAGTTTTAACTTTCCATTTTGCCTGCTGTATGATAAATTCCATGTTTCTGTGACTTCTGTGGAGATAATGTAGCCTTAGTCAAGTAGCAAGCTGGTTTTACACATGTATCTAAGCATATCTTTAAAGTGTATCCATAAAATGGTGTGTTTTCAATTTTTAATACATGTAATTTTTTATTATCAGATACAGGTTGTAGCAACGAGTTTTCTGTGGTTTGTTCTTTTAAAAAATAGGTTTTCCCAAAGCATGTATGAGGTGCTACCATCACGTTCACTAAGGAAACCTTACTTGCCGTGCTCTAGAAATATACTCAATAAAAGCGTGCATCCTCAATTCTTCAGGAAAGTACTTAATTATGTAAGGAAGCATACTGTTTCTGTGAATGATATTACACTGACATTTTAGTACCTTTCTGCCTTTATTTATACTGTAAGTAGACTTTCATGGAATGTGTGATTCTTTCTCCAAATATTTAAAAAAGGTTAACAGAGGACAAGGAAAAACACTTCCTAAATTTGTAAGGGTTTCTGACTGATGGAAAACTGTGCCATCTCCACTGTCGCCTCTGGCAGCGTGGCTGCTGGGGAAGGACTCCTTACAGCGCCATTCTGGCAGGTTCCCATCCTGGAGAGTACAGAGGTACCTGAATGAATCAGGAACTGAAGTGTCTTAAATGTGAGTGGCAGGGTTGTAATAATAATGGTCTTTAATCAGCTCATAAGCTGATTAAATTATTATGGTAGTGCAATGATGAGAATTTTGCTACAGCATTATAACGTGGTGTAGTTACAGTTTGTAATCACACTTTAATTTGAAAAAAGCTGTCTTCTTCCTTACTGTGGAAACAGACCACTTTGATTTGCTTCCTCAGAGCTGCTCAGAAGATGGGGCTTCTTCTGTGTCTCATCTTTTATCTTCTGTTACAGGGGTCCTGGGGGTGGTAGACCTTGGCCAAACCCAACCAATGCCAATTCTGTAAGTAAATATTTAAAATATATTAGACATCATCATGTATTTAGGGAAGAATTTCTCATCAATACACCAGGAAAAGAAATCTTCCTTCATTCAACAAATGGAATACTGCATGCTTTATATTTTTCCCCGCTAACCCCAATGCAGAGTAGGTACAGCGAGGAGCATGTCCAAACAGAATGCTTGTTGACCTGCAAATATCCAGCTCTGTTCGTAATCACACAACAGCTCTGCATCTACGTCAGTTATAGCACTGCCTTAACACAAAGGTTATCCTGGGGTATATTTAAAATGCATTTTAGCTTCCTTTAGTGCAAGTATGATGAGTTAGGTCAACACTGTCTGACCAGCAAGCTGTACAGAAATCGCAGCTTGTTAAGATACAGCTTAATGTATGCTGTCGTGTGCTCATGTATTTTACATAACAAATGCACATTTGCTCCTCTTAACTAGAGTGTATGGAATCATAGAGCAATTGCTTGCAAGACATCAGCCACTTCTGTATACTTTTTGTAAAAAGCAGTGCACTCTATTGAAGTTCATTGCAACAACTACAAAATGAGGCGGCCTAGTAGCAGCTTGAAAAAAGAGGAGGTCAGTGACACATCTCATGTGTCTGGTATTTCTTTAAAAATCACAAAGGTAAAGTTTTCATCTTCATTCACAGTCATGTGTTAGAATAAAAATGTGTCCCTTTTTAGCACTTGCACTTGCTTAAGATGGATCTGGCTTAACAGACTAGCCCAGTACTTTCTGTAATTCTCAGTTTTGATTTTTTAATTCTACTAATGACAAATGGGGAAAAAAAGAGCTAAACTCTTCCTCAGTTTTCTTTTGCATGCACTCGACTAAAATGTTAGGATATTTTTCAAGTGATAGTTAAAATATTTTCATTCTGTGAAATAAGTTGAGAGGTGAATAATAGATGTATTGGTAAAAATGAGTTGGCTGACAAGTTCTCTACTATTGTGTAAGACCGTTATGCTGCAAAAATTTTGTATTTTGTCTGTATAGTTGCCTAATTCTTACCCCATTGTCCCATCCTAGTATTGGTTCATGCTCCTGTAAAGAGAATAATTGCAAAGTCTATCATAAAGAATCAACTGAATTATTTGCAGGCAACTGGATTGCTCCAGATATGCCCTGTAACAAATACCACAATCTAATTTGAAATGAAAATAGAACACTGTCCTTTTTTTTTTTTAAAAAAAAAAAAAGAATGCAAAGAAATAAAATTCTTCTAGGGTGAAAGATACGAGAGAGTTGCTTTTCCTTTTATGGGCAAGATTTTAATCAAGATTAAGTATGTATAAGAACATATCACTTCAGTCCATGCTTGTGATGACTCTGAAGTCCTATTGACTTAAATGCAAGTATCTCCTGCTCAAGTTTATAAACCTTATAAAGCATATTCCCTTAATAATCTTATAGCTTAACCTTTAACTATAAACTGTGGATCTTTACAGAGCTTATTGTGGCTACTGCAATAATAACATGAAGACTGTAGTTGTAGCAAGAACCGGACAGGTACTAGAACTTGTAACCAGGTATCTTTAAAAAGTGATTCAGGCTGTTAAAAATGCATGCCTCACTTATTATGAAAACACACAGAGCAGATATTAGACCTCAGCCTACAGACAATTAAATGTATAAATTATGTTATTCATATTGATTTAATTAGAGTGACTGCCAGGGCACAAAAATCTTCAATGGAAATATTTTTATTTGAAATATTGGGAATTAAATTTGGTTTATGTCTATATTGATAGTTTTGGACTTGAACATACTTACAATGACAAGTTGTTGAAAAGAAGAGGTGTTTGTGTTTGACAAGAAATGTTTTTCCATAATCCTGACTGTGTCTTTGAAATAAATTAGACAAATACGTGTTCACCTGCAACTATACATAAATGTAGATATGGACTTCATTTCCCTGCAGAAGAAATTATTGGTTTTGTTTCTGTTGATATTACAGATACCTTATTCTTCAGCATCTCCTGGGAACTATGTAGTAAGTACACTTGTGTGTGTTTGCTTATTGGAATAGGAGTTACATTTTATTTAGGCAAAGAAATAGCCGTCCAGATGTTAAGAACCCTTGTGTATTGGTTGAGAACTGAACATCTGCACTTAGGTTTTTTACTGCCATCTATGGTGCATATGTTGATTTTCATTACTAGAATCATTATCAGTCTGGTCAAAATTTCCCTGAGTGCTGTTTTATTTCAGCAAACATGTATATAACCAATAGAATATATTGTCTTCAATAATAAAGGACAAAAGCCAACAGCTTTCTTGATAAGACAGTTCTGTGTATTAATTTCTGAACTTCTTAATAAAAAAATATGTGAAGAATTAGAACAAGCTTTTTTCTTCTGAAAGATATGTAAATGGGTCCTTACAGCTAACATTTTAAGAGAGATTTTTTATTCTTTCAATTACCTTCTGGAGACAGAAAAACTCTCTTCTCCATGGTCTGTTACGTCTTCATGTCACAGACTTTGCCTTAATTTTTTATGGATTAGTTGATATAATTGTTTTTACTTAGTCTGTAGTTCAGAATGAAATAGTTAAAACTTTGTAATAGACCCAGCATTGAGCTGTCATTCAAAAGAACATGAAAGGCTAACCCTCTCTCTGGAGTGTAACAAATACACTTTATCAACAAAATTATTTTTGTTGGAGTATATACTGCTATTTTTTGTCTCTGTCCTGAGAGATGAATTTTGTTTATACTTTTAGGCTCTTTGTTGGTGGTATTGTTGTGCTTGGATTATTTGTGCTTCTTATGTGCTCTTCCAAGGCATATTTTTTCATCTGTTTTTATCACACGCTTATTCTGGTGTCACAGGGTAATGAGGGAGAATTTTATGCACCTATGCTGGGTTCCAAATTTCTGTTGGTCAGGTTTTGGTAGACTTCTCTTTTGGTCTTTCATGTTTGCCACATGCTGTCGGGAAACAGTCTACATCTCCTGATCTGCAAACCAGTTCTTTTAATGATTAAGATCTTCATAAAGTTCTCTCTGTTGGGAAGAGGTTTTGTTGGTTTTGCCCTAGACATTAGTGATCATTTACTGTTGCAAATTTTGAAGCTTTTTTGGAACATTTGACTTCTTATTTTCTTTTTTTTTAGAAAAGGAGGTACTACAGAAAATTAATTTAAAGGAGCAAACCTAAGTAAAATGCAAGTTGTAGTAAAGGACTCTGTTGGTGTACTCACATCAAGCCAAAGGTTAGCTAGGATAAATGACTTGGACGAAAGAGGGCATCACTGTATTCCAGTGTATAGCTAGAGGAGGGCTAAGAGTAAAGAGAGTAAAGAGGTGACAGTGATGAAACTGATGCTGGAATGTTGCATCTAATTGTCAACATTGAAGGAAAATCAGAACATATGCAAAGATGCAAGAATGAGACGCACAAAGAAGACGGAAGTATTGGAGGAATTGCCTGAGCCTCTGATCGGATGTGCTCTGTGAACTCCAGCTGTGTCCATGGGAAAGGTTGCTGCCCCATTCTATGTCCCCACTCACTCTTCTGCTGAAGGTTACCACTCCTTCAGCTCTGTCCCTTGGATGAGGGGCAGATGAGGGGAATGCTTTGAGACCTTAATTTGGTTAGTTGATCACACAGTTTTTTAGAAATGGTTCCATTACATATTAATATAGACTTAGAGTGAAAATAGTTGATACCAAGAGGCTTTCTAAGAGAATAAAATATACAAACAATGAGGGTAAATGCAAATTTAAAAATAGATGCAAAAGTTATTAGTGAAGATAAGTAACTTTTCTAATAAATGACCAGCTAGAGGTTTTTACACCTCTTTGGATGATGCTGGAAAATATAAGCCAAAAAAATCAAGTTAGTGAGCTTAGTGCACAAGTATATGGATAAAAAGTCATAGCCTTTGATGCCTAGAGGCAAAAATCCCTTTGAATTTAGAGTCTGTATCTGTGTGGCAGCAATGAGGGAATTTCTAGTTGCTGAAGGCTGAACAGGCCTTTCAGACAGTTGTGGCAAGCCCAATCTTAACACTTTCCTTCCTGATTCAGTTGTAATTTGGGAGAGGAAAAAAGCAGTGTGGCTGCTGGCAGTATGAAATGAAGTTGTGGTTATGCCTTGATTTTTATAAGCTGATCTGTGGGTTTCATGGTAGAACAAGTGTTTTTTCTGTGACGCTTTGTAAAAGATACTTGGTGACCTTGTTTAGTTCACGAGCAAGGGGAAGCACCAGATAAAGAGCTTGTAGGGGGAGTCACATATTAGGGCACAGAGGTATATGGATGTTGACTGCAGGGATGTGCTGCTTCTTCGGAGTAAAAGATTTCTACTTCATCTACAATTAACCGCGAGTTGATCACAGACAGAGATGCTTCCCCCTCCAAGTATTTTACTTGTATGAAGCTGGGGAGGTACGGTATCAATCAGAAAGCTGATATATTGCTAAGTTTGATTGTCTGAAGATAGTGTTTGCTAGCATATTGTTGCTAAATGTTTTGTAAGAAATGTTATTTTAAGTAGTCCATTAAGAAACAGTGTCTGTTGTTTTAAATCAAAGACTTCTCTGCCTCCTTGCAAAATATCTCGCTGAGATTTGCTGTAATTCACTGAGATGTCCTTGTAGGCAGACAGGAACAACCAAACCTTTATATTCAGTGAGTTCTACTGAAAAAAATGTTCCTGTCTGGAACAGTATAACAGCTATTTTAAAATAAAACAGATAAAAATTTAATAAGAGTCATATGGCAATGAAAATAATCATCTGTTGCTAGCAATCTGTGTATTTTTTATTATGGAAAGTAAATATTTATTGACTTTCATTGACACAGACATTTTTATCAAATGGGAAGTTGGTAGTTTTTCATGTTACTTAAAAATATTAGTGGATCTGCCAGCATAGGATGCAGGAAGTTATGGTTCTGTTCTTACTAAATGATTAGGATGTTTAGAATAAAATTCTTGGAGAAATTCTTAAAGAACCTTAAAAAGCTTCTTTAACAGGCAGAGCACTTTCTGTACAATTCTTAGTCAGAAACACAGAAATACCTGAAACTAAGAAAACATGTTCCTTGAAGGGTTTTTTGGGGGGATTTTTTAGTCTTTGATTTGGCAGTCTAGGCAAGTAATATGACTGTACTCAGCAGTATCCTGACTTTTAAAATCCATTTGTCATTTATTTGACAAGAAATTGTATACAAATGTTATTTTTTAAAATTGCAGAATATTATACAGACAGAAATAAGATGCGTATGGCATTAAGATACCAAGTCTGCCTAAAAAAAATAAAAAGCTTTCTTAAGGTGATGAGGCTCTTCTGTCCCTGTAGGACACCCTCTTGTTTTGTGCTTAGCAAACGTTGGTTACTGGACCATTGACTGTGTACAGGATACAACAAAACAGAAAGGCCAGCTGAAAAACCAGTGGTAATAAAAGTAGGTTGAGGGAATTAAATATAGTTGTCTTACGCCCTGCTCCAAGTATTTCTCTTGTCTGACTCACAGCATGACACAGAGTTATTGACTAATAGATATTCTTGGGTCTGTATACCTATGTATATCAGAAGTCTGTACGAGAGCTGACTGATCAATTACCTTGTCTTAATCTGTGATAAGCTCTTTCACTAGTTTATCAGAAAATGTGCATGTTTTTCCAGAGTAAGTAATGACATTCATGATACTGGTTTTTTTTCCATTTGTACTGTTTTCATTTTTTACTGCAGTGGTTTTTTCCTTTCATGCTAACTGACATTTTGTACTCTCTTTAGGGTCCTCCAGGAGGTGGGGGGGCACCAGGAACACCCATCATGCCTAGTCCTGCAGGTATTGAAATATACTCGGAAATAATAAAAGATAACTATATGTGATCTTAGGGAATATACAAATTATTTTTCAAGCTTTGATTTTCATGAAGGATCAGCTAATGAGAAATTATTAGATTTGTACTTTCTGTATCAGTTTTCCTGTGCCTTCACTCTCTCTCCCTGCGTTGTTGTGGAGATACAAAGCATTGCATCTCTCCAGTTCAGACCAATTAATTTTGCTGCCTTTTGAGCCCATCTTTTCTTGCACAATTTCGGTGATACCTAGTTAAAAATGAAAGAAGTCACAGTCTTTATTTGCTTTTGCTAATGTTCTCTGGGACAATTCCACCAGTTTGGAAATCAGGAGATTTCTGAATCTGGTGAAACTTCCCCTGTAGTATTCTATGGGATAGACCTGACCAACTTCTTGAGCGATGTGCTGCATCCTGCAGCTGTCATCTGACTGACAGCAAGATCATGATGGACAGGCTGCTCTCCGCTGTCTTGCAATGCAGGTGTAAGGCCCTAGAGGAGCCATCATCATGTCCTGACAGTGATCTGTTCCCAGAGGTTTCCCCGGGTAACATGTCTGTATCTTGCAACTCTGACCACAAGGAGATTTTGGCCATACAAAGGACTGGTCACATTCCTACTAAGGTCAGAGGAACAAGGAGAAGGATGGGAGGATTCCAGATGGCTAGCTAGCTTCTCAAGGCTTAAAGATGGTCAGCTGGATGGAAGAATTTCCCTCCATCGATGTTCTGCAAAGATTCTAATACGAAGGTGGAACTGCAAGAACTGCAAGAGGATGCTGTCTTCCACCCATGGACCTTATCCGAAATCTACTAAAATGAAACTAACACAGTATTATAAACCAGTGTTCAATGTCTACTCCTTTGGCCAACATCTGCCTTTGTAACACTTTCACCAGCTAAGAGGGACTTGTTCACCTCAGTGATGTTATGGCATCCTCGGTCCTTATGTCCTACGTGTTCCTGCTGTCCTCTACAGCACAAGAGGGTAGGGAAGTTTCCTAACTGCCCATGAGAACTTCTTGCACCAATATCTTAATTAAATATGATTCCAGGGCTTTAAAAAATGCAACCTGAGATAAGGCGTACTGCTTCATTGTTCATATCATTAGTGAAAAAGATAATCAGTGCAAGTTGACATGTAAAAGTTAGAGTCTCTTTTAACATAGAACAAACTTATGGACAGCCTGCACTATTAAAAAGAGTCAACACTGCAGTTATGGCACATGTTGGGCTCTCTGTGTGCAGCTCAAATAAAGCATCTGCTGATGGCTGTTCCCATTTTCAGTTAGAGACTCAAAGATGTTTTGAAACTGTTTTCCGAAGTATGAGAACACTTAGAAATTGGCCACCTGAGAATTTGGCAAAGGTATGTACTTGCCTCTGAGACAAACCAGCTCTGAGGGTTCGCGTGGCCCAGCTAGCCTGTATGTATTTTTACATAAGACTGCAGAACATGGGAAGAGCCAGGAATGTGCATTGCAACAGGATCTGGTGGTTGAAGAGCTTTTTGCCTGCCTCATCGAACATTAAAAATAACTGTCTACATGCTAATTTTACTTTGATAGCTTTAGGCTAAAAGCTTTTTGTTCCCCCTCTTCTTCAAACAGCATATTTGAATGTTCTAATGATATGTAGTGCTCTGCATATATGGGAATTATTTACTCATCAAGGTTAATTAATGCTTAGAAAACTGTCTCAGAAAGATTAAGGAATAGTCAAAGACCTTTGTTTTAACTGCCCAGTGTATGTACAAATACATTTCTGCGGCTGTGAGGCTGCATTCCCAGTTCTAGCACATTTCAGTCTGGTTTCTCCTTTCTCGCTTTCACTACTTCTGAGTCAAAAATCCCCTGTCATGTAGTCTTTGAAAAGCAGTTACAGCTCAGCAGTGGTTTTTGCATGTGTTCTTAATCTCAAAACTCTAGTTTGAAGAGGTGGAATGCTCTTTTGGAGGAGCTAGGTACAGAGTACTCAGCTATGCTTTATTGTTTTTGCAGGTACTATAGAGGTACTGATTTTCCAGAGTTGACAATATTTTTTTAAATCATGCTGTCCTCTTAGGGATGTATGTAGACTTTCCTTAGGTCATTCTCCTCTCAGTAAACTTTTTAATTTCATGGCTTATGTCTTGTCAAGTTTTCTCGCGAAAGGTTTTTGCCTAATTTGCCCTCTGTCTGCTGCATTTTTGCCTTCTCTTTCTTACAAATGTTGACAAAGGGCATTAAGACTTTGTGTTTGTTAGCAGTGGGGATAAGCTGGGAGATCAGAATCGTAGAATGGTTTGGTTTGGAAGGGACCTTAAAGATCATCTAGTTCCAACCCTGCTAATGGTTCTTAGGCATTGGTTTCTTAAGTTCAACCAGAAGAGCTAAGTGGGCTGTCTTTGATATGTCTCGTTAATTAAATCTTCCATTTCAACTTTGGAGTGGCTCCACATGAAAGTTGATGTGCATTGATTGGAGGAAAAGGACTGAGATGTAATATAGCTGTGTCAGTGTCTGGCAGGGCCAAGTGAAACTCTTGACAGAACTCAAACCAGGACATCAGCTTAAGGACCACGCTGTGCCAGGATGGTTTTGTTGGTTTAAGTGTTGAACCACACTGTACCGTGAAGATACATCAGTTAAAGCTGCCCTTAGAACAAGGATCTTTGCACCGTGTTCCACTGAATATTTAGATATATCCAAAATCACAGACTGACATGAAGGAGAATAAAAAATTTTAATTCACTATACTAGCTTGCAGTCTGTTTAATGAGAAGCTATTTATCATTTATTACAGATGGGAAGACAAATCACAGGAAGTACTGATAAAAAAGAAACTCCTGTTTTACAGACAGTGTTGAAGATGAGTGAAGTAATTTGGAACTCCAGGAAAAAGAGTTTACAGAATTAAAAAGTTACAGATTCTTGGTGGTTTATAAACCTTTTTTTTAACAGTCGTGCATAAAATTAGAGTCTAGAAGTAGTCACTTAGGGACCCTTGCAATTATTTCTTTTCATAGCTCTGTTATGTGGTGGTAATAGAAAGGGAGTGAAATCTTCCATTATATTGGCACTGTGTATCAGTGATTCAGGCACAGAAATAATATGAACAAAATGATAGGAAATGTATTAGGTGGGTAGTTTTATTGAAAAGTATACATTAGCACTTAAAGTAATCTCTTATTACAGATTCAACCAACTCTGGAGACAACATGTACACTTTAATGAATGCAGTACCACCTGGACCCAACAGACCTAATGTAAATATGAATCTAGTTGTATACTTCTTTAAATTTTAGAGCCCTTTTTTTATCCAAACAATACATTTCCATCATATGTAATTAATACTAAGTTTTCTGTTCTTCCTGGTGAAGCTTCAGTTGGCTCCCCCTGCCACCATGTACTTTTTAATGTTTCCCAAAGTAGTCATGCCAATATATGCAAAAAAATGTTTGGGGCATATTCTTCTATGTGGAAAAGACCTTAGTGGCAGAGGAACTGCTTGTGGATCTTGGGGATGACTTATTTTTGTCACACTGTGGTCCAATGGACTTCTGTGTGATAGGACATCATCCTAGGAGCTGCCACGAATCATTAGTTTCTGCAGGATTCAAGCTTTAATTATAAAAAAGTATCTACCCTTGAAAAGGGAGGAGGGAATTAAAGTGACCCAGTATTATGTTGCCCTGCCATTCTGTAGAAAATAATAAAGTGTATGCCTCTGAGAAGAAACAAACTTTAACTTGTTTCTTCTCTGATCTTTCTCTATGTCTTCAGTTTTATTGTATTTCTCTTATTGCACCCATATTTCATTTAATAGCAATCCATATAATGGGCCTTTTAAAAAAAAGGCCAGTAGAGGTTAAAAATACAGATATTTAGATATTGGTAAATCATTATTCAGTGAATTTTAGAAATTATACTGTAATTTTAATGTCTTTAAGTTTTTGAAGAACTAAATTTAAGGTTAATATCTGAAATGGGACAGAAACTGGTCATGCAGTGAAGGTAATGTGGAATAGTTCGGCTGTTGGTAAGGATAAGGTGGGGTTTGAAAGCTGTTAATTAATCACTTACTCATTGAAGAGAATCGTATAGTTCCCTGTAACTTCAGTGGTAGTATAGCTAGGCCAGCACTAGCAGGTGTGAAAGTCATAACAAAGCGTTGAGTAAATAATTAATTATTTCTAAATAATTATAATATATATTGCAGCCTACAGAGGTGAGAGTTTACAAAAATCGTGAAGGTAGCATTGGAAAAAGTGAACAAAAGCAATGATGTTTTTGCATTCTTCACATGAAAGACTTTCACTTGACTTGCATGTTCAGAGCTGGGACTGTGCATTTTTCCTTTACTTTTTTTTTCTGGAGGAATATTTTCTTTTTATTAGATTATCTACAAAAAATTGTACAGTAATACCAGTTTTCAATGTCTGATCCTTTTGTAGTTTCCAATGGGGCCAGGGTCAGATGGACCTATGAGTGGACTGGGTGGAATGGATTCACATCATATGAATGGATCATTAGGTAATGATAGTAAATATTATGAACATTGTGAATTTTCAATTACTAGTGCCATTTTCTGTGACTAGTTCTCTGAGTTATGTGGAAGACTATATGTAAAAATATTTTAAAAACTGAAAAATCTGTATTAAGATACTTTTTAAGCATATGAGTTAGCATACATCATGCACCTCTGGAAGAAAAATACTGTATTTTATTTATGTAAGAGAGTATAGTTTTAATCCAGTTGTTGAAAACCAGTCTAAAAGGATGCCATCACAGTAATGTAGAGATGAAGACTTAAGAACCATTCTTATTTAACTCTCTTCCTCTTTGAAAATCTGGGGAAGGTGTCATTGTGACATGCTGATGCACACACATTTTGATGTATGCATTAAGCTGGTTTTATCCCAACATTTTGATATCCTCATTTGATCTATAAATAGCTATATGTCTGTTAAATGTGAGTATTATTACTCCACCCCCATTAGCAGTTTCAGACAGGTGCCAATTTTAATGCACCCCAAAGAACATGAATTCTTGTCAGGGCATGCAGATGCAGGAGGAAGAGTGTACTGCTTGACTGCTGACACTAGGAATTTAGAAGGACTCATATCTAGGGGAGAAGCCTTGCATGACTCTGCAAAACACACGCTGCTCCATCTCCTTGACTATCCCAGTAAACTCTTTGCTCATACTCTTTCCTGAAAGCATGATAGACACTTGAAAAGGATTTAAGAAACAGGTAAATAAATTGCACTTATGCCTTCCTCTTCCATAGCCACAAGGTAGATGAATACCTTGTTTTTATTTCTGCTCACACCGTATCACCAGACTGGTAGCTCTGAATATGGTTCTCGTGTTGTACTCTTCACTTCTGTCTGCACCAAGGGGTGTCGGTCATGTGGGCAACAACAGGGGGAAACCTTGTCCCCACTGTCCACCAGCAAGGTTCTCTTTTACATCTGGGAGCTGACCCAATGCCTACAAGGGGCACCGGCAACACCCTGATGAGCAGTGTTTTCCTTTATAGGGAGAAACCCATACAAGCTAGGTACAGGTCAGGCAGAAGCCAAGCTGCCACTGTTCCCTGTGCTTCTGTCCCCAAAGAAAAGCTCAGTCACCTTCCCAGCACAGACATGGACCAATCTGAAGTCTGTACCGTTTAAGTCCATGCTACCATGGTGGATGGAAATCTATCATTTACAGCCCCAAGCTGGAGGTCGTGAGACACGCAGTATAAGTAGGTAAGAAGAGGGGAGAACTTAGAAAAGGCTATGACAAGATGAGAAAAAAACTAAGCTATCAAACCTCATTTAGCAGACATGTTCAGAACTATTAAAAGTCAGAAGTAGGCATCTATCTCCTAACAGAATTATCTTTTTTTCTTGGTAAGCATGTCCCTGAAAATTCCTAGATTACTTTGCATAAGGACACCTTGTGATTTTACAGCCTTTCTTTACTTACTAGAATCCTAAAATGGATTGTTGCTTTAATTAATAGTGATGCACATTTCATTCAAGTAAATGAAAAACTATGTAAAAAGTAATCACATCTTTTTCTGTCATTTTCTGTAGCCCAAGAATTATTTCTTAGCTAAAAGAAAAAAATAAGTTGAAACAGTTATTGAAGGATTTTACATGTACTTAGCATTTAGTTAGTTTTTTTCTCTAGTGAAAATGATGATTGTCAAATTTTCATTCAGTCAAATTAATGATGACTGCCTTCTAGGCGTAGCTTCACATCTAAACTGGAACCTGAGCTCTTTCAGAAGAGAAGGGCTGGGAGAGATCTGCTGCGTTCCTTTCCATGCTGCAGTAGTAGCTTGGTCAAGGTCCATCTTGAACTTCTCCAACTTTTTTGACTACAACCCTTCTACTGGATATCTGTTCGTAGCTCTGATTGTTAGAAATAAATCTTTTCCTGATTTCCACCTAAATTTATTCTTTGGGCTGTGACAAAATGGCTCTTCATAACATTTATGTATCTGATGTATTTATAGAGAGAAATCATATTCCTTCTCAGCCTTAATTTGCCCGGCTAAGTATAGTAAGCTATTTCAGTCTCCTCCCACAATTCCATTTTCTTGATTGTTTTTCTCTGATACTCTTCTAGTTCGAATTTGTCTTTCCCGAAAATAGGTGACCACAATTGTTTACTGTCTCTTGCTGCTGAAATTTTCTGGATGCATCCATCACAAAATTGTATTTCCTTTATTCTTATCTTTACCTGAGTGAGAGCTACACCATGTGAAAACATTATTTTCAGTAGTCTTGCACTCATTATATTTAATTTTGGTTTCTATTACTCTGGGCTGCAGGATCATCCACTTTCTTCTGAAAGATACTATCATCATCAGTATTTGTGATACATCAAAAGTTGATGTCATTTCAGCCAATTTCAATACTAGGCTTCTGCTTCTGGAAGGAAAGACGTTGATGAAACCCTCCCCGCTGACTTTAGAGATATCCCACTGGTGCAGAGTTTTGAGAAGCTGACATTCAGTAAAAATAGTGGATTTTTTTTTCCCCGGGAACATATCCACCATTCTGCTTTTTTTTTTTTTTTTTTTTCTCGAGATGAAGCAATGTTTCCCTTAGGTGGATATACCCAAAACTAGTTGCATTACCTGTACCCTACCACGACTAAGAGGACAGGGAGGTTGGACATATGACTTCTTGAGTTGTGCTGGGCTGTCTTACCCTGAAAGGATGCCATCCAAATAACAGACACAGATCAGAAGTGTGTCCTTATTGCTTTCTGACTTTTTGCACCGGATGTGTACACAGAGAAAGCACTAACATTATTCAATACTAACCATAAACTTTTACTAGAAGAGACATTTGGAAGGAAGTGAGATGATGAATGATTGGTTATGTTTTAAAATATTGCTGTTACACTATATATTCTTGTGAAAAAAATTCTTAGATTAACTTCAGCTCAAAACTAACTGAATAATTGTCTATTTTAATTTAAGGCTCAGGAGACATGGACAGTATTTCCAAAGTGAGTATCCAATGAAATATTTGAAATTTTTAGAATATTACACTCTAAACATATTTTCTTTGTCTCTATTACAAAGCTTTTTACTATGTATCTACATTTTCTGCTTATCAACTCTTCGGAGGCTATGCAGACAGAATTAGAATTAATTGAAAATATAAAAACAATATAATCAATAGGGAGTATAAGTAGACTTATTTCCTACTCCATAATTATGTGTATTAATTAATATGATTAATTATATCCAGTTCATAATCTGATTATGTTATAATCTTCCATACTGTTAAGACAAATGAATATAGCTTTAATAATCAATTTTAGTTAAATGTAAATTTGGTAAGATATCATTAGGATGTTACTTTTATGCGCTGCATGATTGCTTTTGTCACCTCTGTAAGGCAATGTTAATATCTTCCTCGTTAGTATAAATTCCTAAAAGCTAGATTAAGAAGTAGTTTCAGAAGAAACACTGTTTTGATATCACAGCCACTCAGTAGTGTACTGGAAATGACTGTGAGCATCTACAAAAAGAATATTGCACTTGAATATGTCACTTCTTCCATAAAAATAAACCTGCTACACATGTGATTGTCATTAAATTAGGAATTAATCAGCTTATTTGGTATTGCTAAAGAGGCATAAATCTGCCCCATGCAAAACACTTCTTTGTACTCGGCTTCTTCAGATGTAACTGACTGAAACTAATAAATACATCACTACAACAGTCTCCCTGCACTCTTGTGCTTTTGATCTATAAATACAGAAATTGATTAAGAGATTGTTTCAGTTAAAATGTTATAACTCATTCATTTATAACAAAAAATCTTTGCAATCTTCCAAGAGAGGAGTATGAATTTGTTTTGAGAATATCAGCTGTGGGTGTATTTTGTTTGCCTCAGCACTGAGTACCACGGTGCTTTCTGTGAGACCTCTCCCAGTGCAGGCTTTGCCACTTCAAAGCTGTCCACATGAGCTCTGGCCACGCTAGGGACCTTGCTGTAGGGGCACTCTCGGGAACTATGTTGAGATGCCAACATGTAGACCGACAGGGAGCAAAATGCTCACCTAAATTCCCGTGGGTTAACATTAAAGTTTGTAGCGTGTACTTGTTGAGAATATGCTTCCATGTGTTTCAAAGGCAGGAATCATTCTTCAGTTAGTGGTACATATTTGTATATCCAAAGAGGAGGAGGAGGACCCTGTACGGTTAGGTCTTCTGGTGGTGTGGTATAGGAGGGGGGTAACCTGTAAACTGTGCTCAGGGTAGGTATTTCTGGAGAAAAGCACCTCAGCAATGTGTCCATGGGCATTGCGGTGTCTATAGCAATCCTATATTTTTGTGTGTTTTTAAGATCTGTAACATGTTCAGGCTCTGCAAAGGGCAAAATGATGGATTGAAATGACCATGTTGCCTTAGTTGTGCTGTGCTTAGATGTGCAGCGATGGCTTCAATAAAAGCCTCCAGTGTGAGATTAAGCACACAGCACTTTTTAAATCAATGTCTGTATTTTTATTGCAAACTGCAGCATTTTTAAAGGAAAAAAACCCAAACATTTCCATTAAGTTGACATAGGATTATTTTTAAATGCCTGTATTCAACTCACTGGTAATAAGTATCAGTATATGTGCTAATACAAGTATCAGGAACTCTGAAAACATGGATCCAAAAATTAACCTGGAAGCCTTGCAGCTTCACATTTGATGCATGTCTTTTTTGAATAACTGAAAAAAAAAATGCTGCTAACTCTGGAAGTAACAGAGTTGTCCTGTTACACCATTCTACCTTTTTCTGAGTAGCGCTGCCCAGTATGCAGCCTCCAGTGACAGTACTGAAAATGTATGGGAAGCACTGGTAGTTTTGGGTAGGTAGTAGTACATAGTGCTTTTGAAACTTGAATGGAAAAGTTCTGCATGGAAGGAGTAGTAGATTTCTGGGGTCAGTGCATGTTATTGTGTGGTTGCCTTGCAGTTTTGTACAGTTACCAGGACTGTTCGTGCTGAGGCAGCAGTCTCCCTGTATGGATCACCAGCTAGTCTGGCAGTTGGCATTTTCACAAGTAGATTTCCAGTGACAGAAACTGTGCGCTCAAGTTAGCACGGTTTGGACTGTGTGATGCTCACACGTAGGACTTCAGTGGCGTGAAGTGCATATTAGAGGAGCTGATTATCAGTTCCCAGGAGAAGTAGAAAATTAATCCAGTCTTGGTAGAGTCAGTACAGCTTGTGAAATTCAGAGCTATGTTTTCTAGAGATTTTAATTTAATTGACTGAATGGCAAAACATGAAGTTTTTATGAATTAGATTGATGGGGGGAAGTAAATGAACTGAAATTATGCATATTAAAAAAACATTAATAACCAGTGTTTTTTGCAGCACCCGTGGAATTTGTGCAAGCCTCTAAGACATACTTGCTCTGGAAAAACTCAGCTAGTGCTACAGTGCTAGACCCCATACTGGCCATAAAAGCAGCCCACGGGAGTTGCTATAAAAGCATTTATGTCAGGAATTTGAACCTTTGGGGCTGGTGTACTGTAGCAATTGCAGAATTTCAAAGCTTTGCACTACACAGAGCAAGATAAAATAGGGGTAAATCCCCCAGGAATGAACAAAAGTGCAGGAGCATCATATAAAATAAATGTGACAAGACCTTAGTGGGTTTTAAACTTTATATTCATAGATTTTGAGGCCAGAAGGGACTGATACGATTGTGTAGTATGACCTCCTGCATAACACTGGCAATAGGACTTCCCTGAATGAATTCAAGCTTCAGGTACAGTAGCTGTGGTTGAACTAAAGCAATAGTTTTCAACCTTTTTCAAGCTGTGGATCCCTAAATATTTGCTGTCCTAACTTCACTGAGTAGCAAACGTCATTGTGAGATTTTCATGAACTGGTTAGGCTCTTATTTGTCTTTGATGGACATTTTGTCCTGTGATTTCCGGGAGACCTGGGTATCACAGTTTCAGAAGCAGTAAATGAGACTGAATAAAGTAAAAGGGCAAAAGTAGATGTCTTGCCCCAACTTTGTAAGTTTAATTTCAGGTGATAATAAAAAACGGTTATACTTACATGTCGCTTATGAAATTAATTTTATATTTAATCTATAACTGAAAATAAATACACTGAGCTGAACCTATAAACATATTTGGCCATTCAGACTGAGAATGCTGATCTCTCCAGGGAATACCGTGAAAACTTAACAGCAGCCTTTCATTAACCCTACAAAATGCGTCACAAAGCAGACAGTATGTACAGCCATCAGATATAGCACTCTGCTAATGTAGTACCAACAAGTAACTGATTTAAGTTTTGGCATTTGGTGAAGCTGGGAACAATGCCTTTTGTTGTCTTTGGAGGCGAAGTAAGTCCCATGGAACAGTGGAATATTTGAATTATGGACAGTGGTCAACATGGGACGTCTTGATTGCAAAGGGGATCATGTGGAAATATGGTATAAAGGGGAAGCAGAAGTCATAGCTATCCCATCCCATTTTCTGTTCAGTGACTACTCTGCTATAGATCTTTGAAGTGCCAGGGTAGGATGGATAGCCTTTGTACTTATGAGGAAAGTGACAGGAAAGTAAGGGGACTTTCTCTTTTTTTAATGTTTATTATTTTTCTTTCAAAGTTTGACCTCTTGCAGATTTAGTTATCCTAAATGAAGACTGCATGCAGGTATTTTCAAAGTGCAAAATACCTTGGGTTTTTTAAGAAAAAAATCTCTATGCTAACAGACATACTGTATCAGGATTGCAGTTGAGAATAATGTAAGAAAAACGGAACAAATTCTCTTAGGAATCTTACAGCCGTTATGATTTGGTCACTTTGATCAAGAGCACATCTTGGAGTTGCATTTTGTTAGCTTGCCCATTGACTGCACTAAGTTTGCATTAAATTTGTTGTGACATAGCAGATTTGCATTTGTACAAGTAAATCTCAACAGCAATACTGCATTCAGTTTTTATGGATCAAAAGAAAAAAATCAAGGGAAGAACTGTGATAGACTTAAACGTTTCGTAATGAAGTTCATTACTTCACTCACTCCTTTCCTTGACTGCTCCTTTTCCATCACAAATCCTCGATAAGTAGAGGATTCCCTTAACGGTGATGGGAAGAGAATCACCTGTGCTCCAGGCGTGATAGGGTACCACAAATCAGCTTTGTAAAAACACCTAACTGTAGTGTCTACAGTAATCATGTATTAGCTATTGACCTAGAATATTCTTTCTGTGACAATTACTTCATTTTACCCTTTCTGAAAGTAGCTGAGTCTTGGAAGTGTTTCCTGAACATTGCAGAGATGGTTGTACAGGAGCACTTCTTTAAAAAAGGGGAATTTATCTTCAGAAGCCTTTGTATTGTTATTACTTAATAGCATTTCAGTTACACCTCAGCAACAAAAAGGTAAATTGAAATGCTGCTGCTTATGCTCTATGCAAGCAAATGGCTAAAGTCCAGCTGCTCCTAGAAGTGTGTGCAAGTCCCGCCCAGTGGCCAGCTGTCACTTAGGAGTCTTGTATCCAACACCCTTAACTCTTTTACCTGCAAACGCTGTGGCTTAACCCCTGAACCACGTTGGTGAGCTCCTGAAACTGTATTTCAGTGAACACCACGAACAGAGACCCCTGGCGCAGGCCTTTGCGAAGGTCTCTGTAGACCAGTTCCATCCGTATGCCTGCCTTTAAGTATATATTTGTAAGTCGCATAATGGCGAAGCACACACTCATAGACTTCCCTGAATTTGCCCACATGATTTAATATCGTGACAGAGCTCCCTCTCATACCTGCTGCAGCCCTTTGTAGCTTTTCCTGACTTCGGTAGAAGATGCTGTCTGTAACCTGAAAACGAGAATTACAGGTACATAATTCTTGCTTCAGGGAGGAAAACATTACTTCACAGGTTAAAATTAGTGACTGAATCATGCAGAACCCTGCAGAGGCTGTTTTTGTCTTTGAAAATCCCAGTGCACTGCACAGTGCCTCTTCGTGTACTGCAGCATCATATAAAGCATGCCTTTGGCACACTTGGTGAAGCTGGGAAATGAACTGAAATCTTCAACACTTAATCTGTATTTTTAAATCTTATTAACAGAACTCTCCCAGTAATATGAGCATGAGTAATCAGCCTGGCACTCCCAGGGATGACGGTGAGATGGGTGGAAACTTCCTAAACCCTTTCCAAAGTGAGAGTGTAAGTATTTATTTACTTTTTACTTATTTCTTTATTTCTTTGGGGTTTTTTTGTTTTACTTTGTGAACCCTTATCTCTGCCATTTTCTTTACAAAATGAAAAATAACAGCAAGAACATACAGTTTTTTAGTGTGCTTGTAATGCAGTACTGAGCCTTACATGTTTGATACAAGCTTCTACAATCATAATTAGTAATGATTTGAGAAAAAATTGTGTAAAACATTGGTAGAAGTTGAGCTGAAACTGAAAAATGTGGGAGGTGTAGATTTACTGCAGAAACTTTTTCTAGATTAAGAGGTCAGTTGTCAATGAAAGTTAAATCTGTCAGTAATTATTATGCTGCATGCATTCAGTAATGCACAATGGGCACTTCGTCAGGCAATGTCTAAGCAGCCTAAATACACATGGCTGACAGATCCTTACATCTGAGTCTTTTCAATGTGTGGTTGCCCAACCTTTGACTCCTAAACAATGTATTTTGCAGGGAATGTCTTTTAGAACAGGATTCACACTGAAGTGTATAATTAGAGCACCAGAAGATCTCCTGTTAGAAAGATGCAGTGTGCTACTAGAGCCAGAAAAAGCAAAGGTTCCCTCTAGTGTTCATTCTGGGACAAATGATGCTTTTTTAAAATGGAGAATGCCAGAGGCAGCAAAACATGCTGTAAAATACATTACAAAGCAAGACTACAGTATTTTCATATTCATGTGCCTGAAGCTGGGTTTCTAAATCCACATTTAGTTCCCTAAATAGGAGTTGTCTTGATTTTTCAGAAGTGCTTAGTGACATCAACACTTCTATTCCTATTGGAAATCACTGCTGCCAGAAGTGAGTGCAACTTCATTAACTGTGCCAGTGGTGAACTTCAGCTTAGAAATTATGATGAGTAAACAGTTTCTATTAGATCACAGAACAGTCGAATTACATGTCAAATTTAATGGGAATCAGATTTTGGGGGTTTTTGGCATTCACTTCCTCAACTAATGAAAAGGAAGAGTTTCTGCATGAAGAGTGTCTTCATAAAGAGGGCACATGTTCAGATTTTGTGGAGTATTGGAGAAAATTGGTCTGTACAACCCAAAAGGCTGATGTTTCAATATCTGCCAAAAAAACCCATTAACCACAGAGCCTTCATCAAGTGTGATCCTTGGTTGTGGTAATCTTCTACTCTCAATTTGGTATGTGTTGCTTGTACTGAGAGCAGGCAGTATGATCAGCAGGCAGGCCAGTTCACCAAACTATAAAGTAATGGAAAGAAGGACATCAGCTGTTCTCAAATCAGTTTTCTCAGACACTTACTGCATCTTAAGTGCTCCTAGATGTTGTTTTCCTACCTGGAAAAACTCAAGACCCAGTTTTCTCAAGGTTTTACATGAGATGTATGCATGCCCCAAGTCATATTGTAGTCTTTGTGAACTATCTTGCTTTCTGACTCATATTTTGTTACTTGGCTACTTAGAGTAGGCATTATTAAGAAGTCCTTTGTCAGGGAAATTTGCTGTCCAGTTCACCAGGAGTTTTGTTGGGGTTGGGGAACAGTGCTTGGCTAATAATAAATTAAAAGTTAAAAATCACAAACACCTTTAGATCATCTTTAAATTCCTTGTCCAAAGTGACTACCTAGGTACTTTGGCTAAGATACAGGAAATTACTCGCACAGATGCTTTGCTTTAAGCATTTGATCTGGTCTTTGACATTGGCTAAAGATAAGCATGTTCTCACAAGCTTTGCTGGCCCACTGTGGGAGCAGAGCGGTCAGCGCATGATGGGACAGACAAACCATCAGTGACATGACATGGGACAAAATGAACTTCACCCCAGTAATTCATTCTGTGGAGTTTACATGACAGGGAAGACCCATCCTAGTCTACATACATTTCTAGTATGCTTGGACACTTGGAAATGGCCAGCTTGAAACTTAAGCTTTGGCAGGTTTTTTATTGCATATCCATTTTTGCAAAGGCATATTTATCTTTCTGTTTCTTGTATCAGTTTTCATAATGCTAATACTCCTTGCATTTGAACATTTTCCTCTACTTAGAAGATTTTAGGACAAATCAACTGTTTCTGCAGTCTGCAGTTTTCAATTTAAAAGCAAATTAGGCATATAGATGTGCACTTGTAGGCACTGTGGTGTCCCATTGTTTACTGTAATGAAGTACTGCTAACTTAAGGCAACTATAGCTTGTACAAGGGCTGCAATTCAATTTGTGTTACAATAATAATGTAACGTGGTGATTGAATTTTTGGTTTACATAGAAGAGAATGACCACTGATCCACGATTCAGCTTGCCTCCTAAAATCAATAATACAGAATAATAAAGACTGAAAGCCTAATTAAATTCCAGTCAGACGTGTCTTTACTCCTTTCTTCCCATAAACTAATAAAAAGCTTTCCAAAATATTTATGTGGTTCAGCTAACCGTGAATGCAGCTGGTCTACTAGAGACTCGCCATCTGCCTAGCTAAATCCCCCCCCACCCCCGTAGCCAGCTTTGACTAGGAGAAGGTGTGGAACGCATCAGTGAAGTATTTGTTCATCACACCACTCAGATGAACCCAAAACAGTCTTCAAGGTATTTGGCTTTATCAGCAATAGCTGTATTTTTGCATAATGAGAGAAGCGTAACAGAAGTTATGATACCACAAATGGAACTGCAGCCTTAGCACAGGCTACAGGACAAATTTAGTGGGAAGAAGTTCAAAGAGCATGTTGGCTTTTGAACTCGTTACAGTGGTCCAAAAATGGTTTTAGTTACCTGAGGGGAAAAAAATGGTTGTTAAAATGTGGATTCCTCTTTTTTCAGTACTCCCCTAGCATGACAATGAGTGTGTGATCCGTTAACAAGTCTCGCCATGAAGACCACAATGAGTTGGCCCTCTTCAGAGAGCTACTACAGAAGAAAATTATTCGTCCCAGTGTACAGTTTAACAAAAGGATCTCAGACACAATCAGACCCACCATTTTTTTTCTGCCATCTCCCCCGTTTTGTCAAGAAAGTGGGTCCCAAACATGATTGAGGCAACTGTAAAAGAGTGGCATAACAGAACTGCCCAAGATGGAACTGCAAACAATTTTCTGTGTATGTACATGTGTGGGTTAATGTATATGTATGTGTGTGGTATAGAAATACACACATACATATATAGACCCACAGGACATTGTAAAATATTATTACATGACATCTTAAGTAGAAATGAGAAATAGGGACTTTTATTCCATCTTTTTTTTTTCTGCGTTTACATTTTAATTATTAAAATTTGCCTTCCCTCTCCCCTCCTGAAGTGTTTTATGTTGCATATATCACTGCTTTATAAGTTATTTTTTAAGGTGAACTCAAATGATAAATTCTTCTGATTTTGTAAATGTCTGCCATTATGGATAGGAATAAAATCGCTTATAAGAGCTTTCATTAACTTGTGTTTGATACCAGTTACCCTGTGAATCACAAACTGTACTGTCTCAAGAAATAGAAGAAAGCTCATCTTAATGTTTTGGAGAAATTGAATAATTTCACCTAGTTTGGGGATTTTTTTGATACTTTGCCTTTAAAAAAAGAAGCACTGAAGGTTATTTTTCTTCTTTAATTGAAGCCTAATATCTGCAATATCTATTTTAAATGGAAGCCTGAATTTGATACAAGCTTCTCAGTTTATATAGAGTACTATAAGGTTACTGTAAGTGAGCTCTAATTGCTATAGAATCTAGCAATAAAGTGTCGGGGCTTCTCCTGCCCTTGGAAATGAGTTTTCTGTTTAGCATGATCTTCCATAGGGGTGGTAGTTAGTGGAAATACAGTAGAGTCCTTATCACTGAAACCTTTTCTAACAATTTACTATTATGTTTCCCATTTTCAGTGATTTTCAAAGAAATTGTAACAATCCATGGTCCTAATTACAAACAGTATTTCTCAAGCCCACTCAGAAAGTCAGATCACCCTGCTACTTACTTAGGTGTGTATTTGCCACCGTGTCTACCAGAATGAATTCCCCCAAAACTTTCCAGTAAGCAGTCTTTTTTTTTTTTTTTTTATATGAGACAAAATGATGGAGTAAACTTTTTATGACTACTAGCCTTGTGAGGGTCTTACCTTTTGCCATGAACAGAAAAGGAGCAGAGTTCTGGGCTATTTTATAAGGAGGTCAGGCTGTTAGACATGAAAGCTGGGGACAGAATGTAGAAAAGGCATATGCTCTTAAAATAAATGCTTCTGGAAGCAGTCCCATGTCTCTTCAGGCAGAGCTCTAAAACCAAGATTATGGCCCATTTAGTTCCAAATGACTTCCAGCTCCCCCGGGAAAACAAAAGTTTTCCGTTGTGTAGTGATCAAAAGGTTGATGATCAGCAATGCGGGCACAAAGTGGTTGAACAAAAATTTACACCACAGGCAAAGAGCATAGTTCTCTTGTTGGATTTTGCATATAGACGGGCCACTTACATAGGAGGAGCAGTTCTGAGATGTGTATGTCCATTAAGTCTTGAAAGGAGATTTTTTTCATGTACTTGTAATAAAGAAGCATACATACTGTGCTCATTGTGGTGGTAGCTGCACATAGTGGGATGTGTAAGGAATAGTCCAATCTCCTAACTCATTTTTACTTACATATATTATATATTCTATATATAATATATGA